TCTATCTTGTCAAGTAGTAGGGTATGATCTACTTTATCAAATGCCTTACTGAAGTCGAAGTAAATTATATCCACAGCATTCCTCTAATCCAATAATTTTGTCACTTGGTCAAAGAATGCAATAAGATTTGTCTGGCATGATCTGTTTTTGACAAACCCATGTTGGCTTTTAGTAATGACTTTGTTTGCCTCTAGGTGTCTGCTGATTTGTTGTTTGATTATCTTTTCCAGAATCTTCCCAGGTATTGAGGTCAGGCTGATAGGTCTGTAATTTCCTGGGTCCATTTTTTTTCCTTTTTTGAAGATGGGAACTACATCAGCTCTTTTCCAGTCCTCCAGTAGTTCCCCAGTGCTGCAGGATCTTTGAAAAATGTAGTTTAGTGGTTCTGAGATCACATCTGCCAGTTCCTTGAGAACCTTGGGGTGTAATCCATCTGGTCCTGGCGATTTGAACTCATCTAGGCTAGACAGATGCTCACGTACTATTTTCTTGCCTACCTTGTGTTTCTATTCTGTTTTTTATGGCACTATTTTTGATAGGTTGGTATGTTTTTTCCCTTTGTGTACAGACAGATGCAAAAAACAAGTTAAATAGTTCTGCTTTCTCCCTGTTGCTTGTCACCTTCTTGCCACTTTCACCCACTAATGGTCCAATCGTTTCGTTCACTTTTTTCTTGTTTTTTACATGTTGAAAGAAGTTTTGTTAAAGTCCCCCATTACATTGTGATGTGCTTCCTATATACCTTAGTTAGCTGACTAGCAAAAATTTTATCTATTTCCTCTGTTTGGTTGGGTGTCCTGGAGAGTTTTAAGAAAAGAGTAGACAGCCACCTACCTAAAATGGTATGTTCTGATTGCTTGAGCAGGGGATTGGACTAGAACAGGGCTTTTCAATCTTTTCACCCATTGTACCACTTTTAGGATATGGCAATATCCGAGTACCACCAGTTGCCTAGCAAGGTGTCAAAAACTTGACCAAAAAAAAAAGGAAAAAAGTGATGAAGTACAGGTAGTCCTCGATTTACAACAGTTCGCTTAGTGACTGTTCAAAGTTACAATGGCGCTCTTTCTCCTGTCCGAGGTTTTCATTGTGAGCATTTCTGTTGAGGATTGGCAGCGGGGGTGGGGTGGGGGGTTGTTTGGTTTTTATTCCCTCTGCTGGGTGGTTGCAGCAGGTTTTGGTCACCCTGGGACACTGTGACCGTCATAAATATGAATCAGTTGCTAAGCATCTGAATGTAAGTCACAGGACCCTGGAGATGTTGCAACATTCCAGCTGATCGGCGCTTCTTCTGGGCTCAGCAGAAGCGCCAGGATCAGTGCTGCTTTCCAGCTGATTGGTGCTTCTTCAGGGCTCAGCTGGAGCCTGGCGCTGATCCTGGTGCTTCCACTGAGCCCTGACAGCCCCGAAGAAGCACCGATCAGCTGGAAAGCGGTACTGATCTTGGCGCTTCCGCTGAGCCCTGACAGCCCTGCAGTTCCAGCCGTCTCTCTCTCTCAGGCTTGTGCGGTGCTGCCACGAGTTCAGCTCATTCCCCTCCCTCGCTACCACTTTTCTAGGATGGTTGCGTACCACCTGCCAGGTGCCAATGTACCACAGGTGGTACCCGTACCACTGGTTGAAAAACCCTGGATTAGAAGACCTCTAATGCAGGGCTTTTCAACCTTTTCACCGACTGTACCACTTTTAGAATATGGCAACATTCGAGTACCACCAGTCACCTAGCAAGGTGTCAAAAACTTGACCAAAAAAAATGGGAAAAAGTGATAAAGTACAGGTAGTCCTTGACTTACAACAGTTTACTTAGTGACTGTTCAAAGTTAGAATGGCACTGAAAAAAGTGCTTATGACCATTTTTCACACTTAGTTCCCATTGCAGCATCCCCAGGGTCATGTGATTTACATTTGGATGCTTGGCAACCGATTCATATTTATTATGGTCACATTGTTCCAGGGTCATGTGATCGTCTTTTGCAACCTTCTGACAAGCAAAGTTAGTGGGGAAACCAGATTCACTGAACAACCATGTTACTAATTTAATCTTTCCCTCTTCCTCTCCCTCCCTCCCTCTTTTCCTTTCTCCTTCCCTTTCTCCCTCTCTATTTCTTTCTCCCTATTTCTCTTTCTCCCTCTCTCCGTCTCCCTTTCTCTCTCTCTCTTGCTCTCTTTCCCCCTCCCTCTCTTTCCCTCTATTTCTTTCCCTCTATCTCTCTATTTCTCTCTCTCTCCCTCCCTCTCCGATCTTCTGCTCACCTGGCCAGCCAGCCTGGCGATTGATTTGGAGGCACTGAGGGGAGGGGAGCGGCCGAGGGCTGCCCGTATGACCTTGAAGTGGCCACCTTTGGAAGTACCAACGCTGCTCTAGCCAGGCTCGAGCCGGGCAGAGCGGGCGATGGGAGAGGAGTGGGCTGATTGTCTTCCCAGCAGCTGGGACTCAGGCACACCTTCCTGGCCAGGGGGCAAGGCACAGGCACTGGTGCCCGCAATCTGCCTGGCCTCCCCTTTGGCCCTGGGCAGCACCTCTGCCTCACGCACATGCGCGATCAGCCTCCGTCGCTGCCGGTGCCCGCAATCTGCCCGGTGTCATGGTTCCGACTAATCAAACACTTCAAAGAACTTCCAGGCATTGTTTATCCTAAAAAGTCTTTATTCATGTAACCAAGTGTCGGCACGGCATGGAGGGATGCCACGATCTGAATTCCCCTCCCCTGAGCACATATTTTGCTAGCATATTTCCCTCCCTTAATTTGCTGTCATAAATCACGTTCTCCAATCAGTTTGAAGGACAAAGGTTACCTTCCGTTTCTGTAGCACGGGCTTCTATCTAAAGCAGGGGTGCCAAACTCAATTTCATTGAGGGCCGCATCAGCATTGCGGTTGCCCTCAGGGGGCCAGGTGGGTGTGACCTCCTGGGTGGGCGTGGATGGAGTGTCTTGTGTTTGACATGTCTGATCTAAAGTAATCCCCACACACATTCTTTCTCCTCCCCTCCCAGCCTCATTTAAGTTAACTCTAAAAATACCACACAGATCTGCATATTTTGTCACATGATCCTACAACTGTCATAAAATACATGGCAGCTGCCAAACATCTGAATTTTATCACATGACCAGGGGGATGCTGCAACAGTTGTAAGAATGAAAAACGGTCATAGGTCATGTTTTTCATGGCCATTGTAACTTAAAACGGTCACTAAACAAATAGTGGTAAGTCGAGGACGACCTGTATCTCCTGACTAGATGTGGATGGGGACGAATATGGTAGCCTGCTTCCAGGTTTGTACCATATTTCATTATTCTATTTACAGGATGAAGTTGGCAATCATTTAGGGCAGAGGTGTCAAACAGCATTGTGGTTGCCCTCGGGGTGTGTGTGGCCTACTGGGTGGGCGTGGCCAACTCTACATCATTCACGTCAAGGGTGCCTGTGTGGCCCTGGGCAGGAGTGGGACAGATCTGAGGGTCTCTGGCAGAAAGGGGAGGGACCAGGGCAGAGCCCATCAAGCCAGATATGTGAAGTAGGCGAGGGCCATTTGCTGGCCGCTTCCAGGCGATGGTGAATTTCTTCATTCCTCACAAAGGGTGACACCTCCCCAGACTCTAGAAAGAGTGCAGAAAAGAGCAACAAAGATATTTAACGGACTGGATGCTAAAACATTGGATGAGCGGTTGGAGGAACTGGATATGTCTAATTTAATGCAGAGAAGGACTAAGGGTGGCCTGATAGTCTTTCGGTATTTGAGGGGCTGACACATTACGAGGGGGTTAACCTATTCCCCAAAGTGCCTGAGCGCAGTAAAAGAATAGAAGGGAGACTTATCAAAAACAGATCCAACCTAGATTTAAGGGGAAGGTTCCTGTCCGTGAAACTAATTAATCAGTGGAACAGCTTCCCTCTAAAACAGGGGTGTCAAACTCAGGGGACCGGGTGGGTGTGGCCTCCTGGGTGGGCATGGCCAGCTCTACATCGTTCCTGTTAAGGGTGCCTATGGGGGCCTGGACAGGAGTGGGACAGATCTGAGGGTCTCTGGCAGAAGGGGATGGGACCGGGGCAAGTCCAATAAGTCCAATAAATGAATGAATGAAGTGCCAAGGCATGGTCCATTTCTTCATTCCTCACAAAGGGTGACACCTCCCCAACATGCACCCAGGGGGAGGGGCCAACGCAGCAGGGGCTGGTTCCTTGCTGTTTCTGGATGGCCTTGTGGAGCTAAGACTGAATGTGTTTCAGCATAGATGGCCACCACAAAATTGTACATTGGCTCCCGGCCGGCCTGGGCCAGGGCCAAGGCAGAGGGGGCCGTTCCCTCACTGTTTCCAGGATGGCTTTGCGGGCCACATGAAATCACTTTGCGGGCCGCATCCGGCCCCGGGCCTTGTGTTTCACATGTCTGCTCTAAAAGTTGTGAGTGCTCCATCAGTGGAAGTTTTTAAGAGGAGACTGGACAGCCATTTTTCCAGAATGGTATAAGTAAGGTCTTTGGTTTGAGAGTTACAACTCTTAGTCTGTATTTCTGTTTGAACTTCATACACTTCTAGGGCTCAGCATGGAGCTAATCTTTGTATACTAAGTAGCATCACTTTTCACTGTTTCAGTCCAAAATATACCATTTTAGGTAGGTGGCTGTCTACTCTTTTCTTAAAACCCTCCAGTGATTGAAGCACCTGCAACCCTGTTTGAGGAATTCCACAGGTTCTATAAAAGGAAACATCCAGAAACCTCTGCTGATAATCAGAAACAAGTCATTAGCCTTTATCAAGTTAACAATTTCCATATATTTTTTTTACACATACAGGTCTAATCCTAAGAAGTGTTGACTAAAAAGAATCAGGCCAGAATTGAAGTAGTCAATTTCTCACCTATACTCTCAATAGAAAATAAGAAATGAAATTCAAGATTTCTCTAAACTCAACATTGTTTGCTTCATGTGCACTTCCTTGTGTGCAATAAGAGATGATTTACACCTAAACAATCGCTCACAGATTGGATATTTCAAATGTTTCTCCCCTGTGTGATATATGATGTATAAGGTTAGACCTAATACTGAAATATTTTCCAAAATCTGGACACTTTTATGGTTTCACTCCTGTGTGAGTCCTCTGATGCCTCACCAGGTTGAAATTCACATTGAAAGATTTCCCACAATCAGGACATTCAAAGGGCTTTTCTCCAGTGTGAGTCCTTTGGTGTATCACCAGGTGGGAATTCGTCTTGAAACTTTTTCCACATTCAGGACATTCAAAGGGTTTCTCTCCTGTGTGAGTCCTCTGGTGTATCACCAGGGTGGAATTCTGAGTGAACCTTTTCCCACAATCCGGACATTCAAAGGGTTTCTCTCCTGTGTGAGTCCTCTGGTGCATCACCAGGGTGGAATTCTGAGTGAACCTTTTCCCACAATCCGGACATTCAAAGGGTTTCTCTCCTGTGTGAGTCCTCTGGTGTATCACCATGTGGGATTTCTGACTGAATATTTTCCAACAAACTGGACACTCGTACGGTTTCTCTCCTGTGTGAGTCCTCTGGTGGGTCACCATGTTGACATGTTTACTGAAACTTTTCCCACAAATTGGACACTCATATGGCTTCTCTCCTGTGTGAATCCTCTGATGCATCACCAGGCTGGAATTGTGTATGAAAGATTTCCCACAATCCGAACATTCAAAGGGGTTCTCTCCTTTGTGAGTCCTCTGATGCTTCACCATGTTGAAATTCACATTGAAAGATTTCCCACAATCAGGACATTCAAAGGGCTTTTCTCCTGTGTGAATCCTTTGGTGTATCACAAGCTTAGAATGGGAACTGAAACATTTCCCACATTCAGGACATTCAAAGGGTTTCTCTCCTGTGTGAGTCCTCTGATGTATCGCCAGGCTGGAATTGTCTATGAAAGATTTCCCACAATCCGGACATTCAAAGGGTTTCTCTCCTGTGTGAGTCCTCTGATGTATCACCAGGCTGGAATTGTGTCTGAAAGATTTCCCACACTCAGAACATTCAAAGGGTTTCTCTCCTGTGTGAGTCCTCTGATGTATCACCAGGCTAGAACTGCAACTGAAACCTTTCCCACACTCAGGACATTCAAATGGTTTCTCTCCTGTGTGAGACCTCTGATGTGTCATCAGGCTGTAATTCTGAGTGAAAGATTTCCCACATTCAGGACATTCAAAGGGTTTCTCTCCCGTGTGAGTCCTCTGATGTCTCACCAGGAAGGAATTTGCAACAAAACGTTTCCCACACTCAGGACATTCAAAGGGTTTCTCTCCCGTGTGAGTCCTCTGGTGTATCACCAGGCTGGAACTGCAACTGAAACCTTTCCCACACTCAGGACATTCAAGGGGTTTCTCTCCTGTGTGAGACCTCTGATGTGTCATCAGGCTGTAATTCTGAGAGAAAGATTTCCCACATTGAGGACATTCAAAGGGTTTTTCTCCTGTGTGAGTCCTCTGATGTGTCATCAGGTTATAATTCTGAGTGAAAGATTTCTCACATTGAGGACATTCAAAGGGTTTCTCTCCTGTGTGAATCCTCTGATGTCTCACCAGTTTGGAACTGCAACTGAAACCTTTCCCACAATCCGAACATTCAAAGGGTTTCTCTCCGGTGTGAGACATCTGGTGTTTCACCAGGTAGTAATTTACAGCAAAACGTTTCTCACAAACTGGACACGCATATGGTTTCTCTCCTGTGTGAGCATTTACTACATTGGGAGCACTTATAGGGCATCTATCCTGTGTGGGTCGTGTTATGAACCACAAGGGAGATATTGTGACCAAAGATTTTGTTACATTAGTAGCATTTGTAAGGAAATGGAAAATATTTTGATTTCTGGCTTGATTTGCTTTCCTTTTCAAAAGTTATTCTCACTTCTCCAGAGTGCTCTTATTGCCATCCTCTTTGTCTGTAAGATTCAAAGAAAAGTGTAAGTTTAATTGTTTATACAATGCTTGTAGATGTGAAAAAAAAAAGAAAAAAATATATTGATTTTACTTGTAAGAAGCTAACTGGGAAGGTCACAGATGGGGATCATGAATGTGGGATACTGCAGCCACCATAAACGTGCAACAATTGGAAGCATCCGAATTGGTGCAACTCCCTTTTCCTGCTTTTTCATAATCATAGGCCCAGAGAAGAAGTGGTAAATGAGGACAACATATACAACTGAACATCCTGAAAGGTCTTCCATAGCTATTCTTTCAGAAGTGCTGGCTTAAGCACAGCTGAACCTCGTTAATACAAGTATGCGGCGCCAATAGGAAATACCGTGCTTGTAAAAAAATTAAAATCCCAGAAAAAAATAGTGGCAGTTTCAGTCTGATAGTGTTGCCAAAGAAACATCAGGTTCACAAGAGAATGAGAGTTCAAAGGGACCTCAGAGGTCTTCTAGTCCAATCCCCTGCTTAGGTAGGAAACCTACATCATTCAACACCCACAACGTCTGGAGGCAAGCTGTTTCATTAATTGTTCTCACTGACAGGAACTTTCTCCTAATTCTAGTCTCCATCTGTTACTTCATGTTCTGCTCTCCGACACTTTGGCACACAGGTCAATCCCCTCTTCTATGTGACAGTCCCTCCAATTTTGAAACACAATTCATCTAAACACAAACCCTCCATGCGCCATTTTAGTCCAACAACTGAAGCCTCTGCAGCCCAACCAATAAACTGGCTCTTGTGCAGACCAGTCTCTGTTCCCCAAAATCCTCTGCAGGCAGTTATTAGAGCTCCCGGGCCTGTCCCTTGACCGGAAATTCTGTTATCTTTCTGAATATTATCACACAACCCCCTTGATCTCAGGAAGGGTTAGGTCAGTGGTTCTCAGCCTTTTTAATGCCGCGACCCCCCAACTGGTCGTAAGTCGAGGACTAAACTGGTCGTAAGTCGAGGACTACCCAACCAGTCGTAAGTCGAGGACTACCCAACCAGTCATAAGTCGAGGACTTTGCCTGCCCGGGAGCGCCGTGCATGTGTGGTTCCGCCCCCTGCGCCGGCCGAGGCATAGCTGGCAAGCGGCAGAGACGGAGCAGGCCGACCACCAGCTGGCCCAGCCCAAGGGAGGTAAGGCACCCGCCGGAAAAGGGAAAAAAATGGTGGACAGCCTTGCTTGGTGACCCCCGTGAAATGGTCGATAGACCCCAAATGGGGTCGCGACCCATAGGTGGAGAACCGCTGGGTTAGGTAAATTAGAAGAGGAATTAAAAGAGGTCAAAGAATTGATGGGGAAAAGTGAACAAAGACTGCAACAAGTAGAAGGGGAAATTGAATTAATGGATAAGAGAGTAGAGGAGATGGACAGTTGACTGACATTAACAGATAGGAGCCAGGAAAAAATGATTATCTCTCTAGAGATGGATAGAGCTGATTATTACTTAAGATTCCAAAATGTTGAAGAAGAAAAGGGAGAGAATTTAGCAGACGTGATGGCGGAAATATTAGCAGAAGCACTGGTGGAAAACAAGGAAAAGATAATTAATGATATAGATGAGATATTCAGAATACATACTAGATATGCAACAAGAAATAAGCTTCCCAGAGAGGTCCATATAAGGTTTACTAAAAAAGCACTAAGGGCAGATATATTACAGAAACTGAGAAATGTCACAATAAAATATAAAGGAAGAGAGATAGTGATATTAAAGCAGATTCCAAGAAGAGTGAGAGACTTGAGAAAGGAGTATCAATTTTTGACAAAAGTCTTAATTGAAAAAGGGATAAATTTTAGATGGTTAATACCAGAAGGAGTAATGGTAAACTGGCNAGAACAAACAGAAAAGACAAAATAAGGGAAAACTGGAGGAAGAATATAAGACACTTGAGAAAGAATTACAGAAAGATACACAAAACAAAAAGATTAAAAATTTAATGGAACTGAACAAACATAAAATGAACTTACTAGAAAATGAAGAAGTGGCAATGAAAATAAAGGCAGCTAAGCAAACCTTTTTTGAGCATGCAAATAAACCAGGGAGATGGTTGACATATAAAATTAAAAAGGAGAAAGAGATGGATTAAATAATTGGAAGATGCTGAGGGGATTTTACATCATCGAAATGAAGAAAAGAAAAAAAATAATTTGGGAATATTATGAGAACTTAAACAAGCAACGAACAGTTTCAGATGATAGGATAAAACAATTCTTGGAAGAAACAGAGATACCTAAAATGCCAGAGAAATTTAAAAAGTTATTAGAAGGGGAAATAACAATGATGGAATTGATAGAAGCAATCAACAGACAAAAAAATGGTAAAACACCAGGACCGGATGGACTACCAGCAGAGCTATATAAGACATTGCAGGAAGTACTAGGTAATGTAATGTTGGAACTTTATAATGAACTTCTTTCTGAAGCTAAGATACCAGATTCGTGGTCCGAAGCTCTTATTACTCTGATACCAAAGGAAGAAACGGAAGCACAGAAAATAAAGAACTACAGGCCGATTTCTCTACTGAATGTGGACTGCAAAATATTTGCATCAATAATGGCGGAAAGACTTAACAAGTTTTTAAATGAATTTATACATTCGGATCAAAATGGCTTCTTACCCAAAAGACAGATTAGAGACAATATGCGAATTATATTGAATGCATTAGAATATTATGAAACACACCCCGAGAAACAGATGGCATTGGTGTTCCTGGACGCACAGAAGGCATTCGACAATGTGAACTGGCAATTCACGATAAGCCAATTACAGACTATGGATTTTGGGGAGAAATTTATAAATGTAATAAGAACAATTTATAATAAGCAATCAGCCAAAGTAATGATAAATGGAGATATGACTGAGAAGATCAACATTATGAAGGGAACAAGACAGTGATGCCCTCTATCTCCACGGTTGTTTGTTCTGACATTAGAAGTATTAAATAGACGTATAAGACAGAATAATGACATAAAAGGGATGAAAATTAAGAGGGAAGAGTATAAGTTACAAGCATTTGCAGACGATTTAGTATTTATTTTGGAGGAACCATTAGAGACAGGACCTGTATTAATAGAAAAAATAGAAAAATATGGTGAGGTAGCGGGGTTGAAAATTAATAAAGATAAAACCAAAATGTTAGTGAAAAATATTACTGAAAAACAAAAAAAAGAACTGGTGGGAAAATTAGATATACAAATTGTAAAAAAGGTAAAATATTTCGGGATTCACCTGACAGCAAGATGTACATCAATTAAAGAGGATAATTATCATAAATTGAAAAGACAAATTGAAGTAGATTTGGATAAATGGAAAAATGTACAACTATCATTAATGGGAAGGATTGCGATAATCAAAATGAATATATTACCACGATTATTGTTTTTGTTTTCAACAATACCAATAAGATTAGATAAGAAATATTTTG